GGGGGGGGAGGGGAGGATGAGCATGGAGGAGGGCACATGTGGGGATGAGCACTGGGTGTTACATGGAAACCAATTTGACAATAAACTATTTGTAAAAAAAAAAAAAAAAGAAGAAGAAAAAAGAATGTGCTAATAGCAGGAGACTTTAATACTCCGCTTACAGTAGCGGATCGATCAAACAGACAGAAAATCACTAAAGAGGGGCGCCTGGGTGGCTTAGTTGGTTGGGCTTCCGACTTTCGCTTAGGTCATGATCTCACGGTTCGTGGGTTCGAGCCCCGCATCGGGCTCTGTGCTGACTGCCAGCTCAGAGCCTGGAGCCTGTTTAAGAGTCTGTGACTCCCTCTCTCTCTGACCCTACCCTACTCATGCTGTCTCTCTCCTAGAAATAAAGAAAACATTTAAAAAAAAAATAGATAATCACTAAAGAAACAATGGACTTGAAAGACACATTGGACCAGATAGATCTGATGGATATATTTAGACCTTTACATCCTGAGGCCAGGGAATTTACTTTCTTCCCAAGTGTGCATGGCACATTCTCCAATATAGATCACATACTGGGACATAAAGCAGCCCTCAATAAATATAAAAGAACAGAGATCATACCATGCACACTGTCAGATCATAATGCTTTAAAACTTGAAATCAATTACAGGAAGAAGTCTGGAAAACCTTCAAAAACATGGAGGTTAAAGAACACCCTACTAAAGAATAAACGGGCCAATCAGGCAATTAGAGATGAAATTAAAAAATATATGGACACAAATGAAAATGAAAAGACAACATCCAAATTCTATGGGATGCAGCAAAGGCAGTCCTAAGAGGTAAGTACATCGCTCTCCAGGCCTACATCAAGAGTTTAGAAAAAGCTTAAGTCAAAAATCTAACAGCTTACCTAAAGGAACTAGAGGCAGAGCAATAAGAATGGCCTAATCCCAGTAGAAGAAAAGAAATATTAAAAACAGAGCAGAAATAAACAACATAGAGACCGAAGAAACAATTGAAGAGATCCATGAAGCCAACAGTTGGTTTCTTGAAAAATTAAACAAAATTGACAAACCTCTAGCCAGACTTATCAAAAAGAAAAGAGAGAGCACCCATATAGACAAAATTATGAATGAAAATGGACTTATGACAACCAACCCCTCAGAAATACAAGCAGTTATCAGGGAATACTATGAAAAATTATATACCAACAAATTGGACAACTTAGAAGAAATGGACAAATTCCTAAACACACACTCACTACCAAAATTCACACGGGAAGAAAGAGAAAATCTGAACAGACCCATAACGAGTGAAGAAATCGAATCAGTGATCAAAAATCTCCCAAGATTAAGAGCCATGGACCTTACGGCTTCCCTGGGGAATTCTACCAGACATGTAAAACAGAATTAATCCCAATTCGTCTCAAGCTATTCCAAAAAATAGAAATCGAATGAAAACTCCCACTCATTTTATGAAGCCAGCATCACTCTGATTCCCAAGCCAGACAAAGATCCAGGTAAAAAACAGAACTACAGGCCAATATCCTTGATGAATACGGATGCAAAAATCCTCAACAAGATAGCTGGAAATCAAATCCAAGAGCACATAAAAAGACTTATCCACCAAGATCAAGTGGGATTCATTCCTGGGTTACAGGGCTGGTTCAACATTCGCAAATCAATCAATGTGATACATTACATCGAGAAAAGAAAAGATAAAAACCATATGATTCTGTCAATAGATGCAGAAAAAGCATTTGACAAAATACAGCATCCCTTCTTATTAAAGACTCTTGAGAAAGTTGGGATAGAAGGAACCTACTTAAACATCATTAAATCCATCTATGATAAGTCTTCAGCTAACATCATCCTCAATGGGGAAAAACTGAGAGCTTTCCCCCTGAGATCAGGAACACGACAGGGATGTCCACTCTCACCACTGTTGTTTAACACAGTTTTGGAAGTCCTAGCATCAGCCAGCAGAAAACAAAAGGAAATCAAAGGCATCAGATTTGGCAAAGAGGAAGTCAAACTTTCACTCTTACAGATGACATGATACTCTACATAGAAAACCTTTCAGACTCCACCAGAAGCCTACTAGAACTGATCGAAGAAGTTGCAGGGTACAAAATCAACGTACAGAAATCAGTTACATTTTTATACACCATTAATGAAGCAACAGAAAGAAAAATCAAGAAACTGATCCCATTCACAATTGCACAAAAAAGCATAAAATACCGAGGAATAAACCTAACCCAAGATACAAGAGATCTGTATGATGAAAACTTTAGAAAACTTATGAAGGAAATTGAAGAAGAAACAAAGAAATTGAAAAACATTCCATGCTTATGGATAGGAAGAATCAATATAGGTAATATGTCATTACTACCCAAAGCACTCTACACATTCAATGCAATCCCAATCAAAGTTGCATCATTATACTTCTCAAAACTAGAACTCTCCTCAAATTTGTATGGAACCACAAAAGAGCCCGAATAGCCAAAGTAATCCTGAAAAATAAAACCAAAACGGGAGGTATCACCATCCCAGACTTTAGCCTCTACTACAAAGCTGTCATCATCAAGACAGTATGGTATTGGCACAAAAATAGACACATAGACCAATGGAATAGAATTGAAAACTCAGAGCTGGACCCAAAATATACAGCCAACTAACCTTTGACAAAGCAGGAAAGAATGTCCAATGGAAAAAATACAGCCTCTTTAACAGATGGTGTTGGGAGAACTGGACAACAACATGCAGAAGAATGAAACTAAATCATTTTCTCACACCATACACAAAAGTAAACTCAAAATGGATAGAGGACCTGAACGTGAGACAGGAAACTATCAACACACTAGAGGAGAAAGCAGGAAACAACCTCCTTGACCTCCACCGCAGCAACTTCTTACTTGACACATCCCCAAAAGCAAAAGAGTCAAGAGCAAAAATTAACTATTGGGACCTCATCAAGATTAAAAGCTTCTGCACGGCAAAGGAAACAACCCACAAAACTAATAGGCAACCAACGGAATGGGAAAAGATAGNCACGCCCGAAAAACAAACAACCCAGTGAAGAAATGGGCAGAAGATATGAACAGACACTTCTCCAAAGAGGACATCCAGATGGCCAACAGACACATGAAACGATGCTCAGCATCCCTCCTCATCAGGGAAATACACATCAAAACCACACTGAGATACCACCTCACACCAGTCAGAGTGGCTAAAATGAGCAAATCAGAGAATTCTAGATGCTCTTGAGGATGTGGAGAAACGGGCATCCTCCTACACTCTTCGTGGGAATGTAAACTCGTGCAGCACCCTGGAAAACAGTGTGGAGGTTCCTCAGGAAACTAACACTAGAACTCCCCTATGACCCAGCAATAGCACTGCTAGGAATTTACCCAAGGGATACAGAAATGCTAATGCATAGGAGCACATGGACCCCAATGTTCATAGCAGCACTCTCCACAATAGCTAAAACATGGAAAGAGCCTAAGTGTCCATCAACGGACGAATGGATCAAGAAGATGTGGTTTATCTATACGATGGAATACTACATGGCAATGAGAAACAATGAAATCTGGCCATGTGTAGCAACATGGATGGAGCTTGAGGGTGTTCTGCTGAGCGAAATAAGTCAGGCAGAAAAGGAAAAGTATCATATGTTTGCACATATAGGAGGATTGGGAGGAACTTAACGGAGGACCATGGGGGAGAAGACGGGGAGAAATGGTGGGGGAAAGGAAGAGAGGCAAACCCTGAGAGACTTTTGAATGCTGAGAACAAACTGAGGACTTATGGTTGTAGGGGGCAGGGGGTAGATGGGCATGGAGGATGGCACTTGTGGGGATGAGCACCGGGTGTTATATGGAAACCAACTTGACAATAAACCATTTGTGAAACATTAAAAAAAAAAGTTAGTATAAAAATCAGAAATAACATCATTTTTATCATGAAAAAAAAAAAGAATTCCTTGCTGCAACTGTACCACCTAGTAGGAAAGGTGACTCATAAACTAGTTACAAATGTTTCCACAAGGGTGGAGTAAGAAAAATTATAGTCTGCATTCTCTGCCCTCTGTTGCTATAATAACAAAAAGAATCAGCTTTTAATAGTTTGCCAACTATATGCTAAGCTTTGTATTCGGGCTTAACAATACCTTGTGCCATTTATTCCATATAATAAACTTATGACATAGATGTATTACCTCCATTTTATAGAAGTGGAACCAAACTCAGAGAGACTTAGAAATGTGTTTTAAAATCACCAGGCATTGGTAGAGCTCAGTAACAAATTATTTACTGTGAGCTGCTCTTAGAGTTATATTTATTAAACTGATCAGTAATTATTTATACAGTGCTTTGTGACATCCGTAATTAGGCACGGAGAGAGGCACTTGTGGGGATGAGCACTCGGTGATATATGGAAACCAACTTGACAATAAACTATTTGTAGAAAAAAAAATTTTACTTATAAATATAATATTGCATCCCCCTTAGGGCTATATATACCGTAGGCTCTATAGCTAAGTTGAATTTACATGAGAAAAATAAAAACACCATAAGCACCTCTTTCCCCTTCCACCTTTCCATCTGAACTCTTAGCTAAATCACTGAATGACCATTACACCTCTTGCATGTTAAAAGTTTTCAAATTAGTCTTTTGGATAAAGGGGTGGGTTGAAAGTTTTCTCAAAAGGAAAAGACCCATCGTTTCATAACAGAAGTTAATAGGAAATTAGGAATTATTTAACACAAATCAATAATTTTTATCAGAAATAATCTAAACTCTATAATAAGGCATACCTATAAAAATCTAAGTTTTACTAACTACTACAGAGCTACACACTAAAGGACTTCTTTTGGGTCACTTGTAAATAAGGTTATATATGCTGATGCAACGACAAGAGGGAAAAAGCTTCTTCCTGAACATAACAACATGTTGTTCTCTGTTCCTGGACAGAAGGTAAGTGTGAAGTACATCTGCAGAACAGAAAGTTCTCACCAGAAAAGTAGCTCTCTCAAACAAAAGCACTTCATCAGCCTCAATAATTTCAGCAAAATTCCTTAGGTTCATTTCCAGCTGCTGAACATTGGGAATCAGCTGATAAACAATGCTGGACCAAGCCTAACAGAACAGAAGGACACAGTGTAATATTACTAACAGGTAGGTAGTCCCAGACCTCTGCAAATGAGTAAATATACTATAACATATGGACAGCAAAATATGGTGATAATGGAGTCCCAAACAAATACTTGTAACAAATATGGTATGACACAAACAAAACGAGATGAAGGTAATATCTGATTATTATCTTTCAGCTGGATTTTTTTAAGGTTTCACACACTTATAAAATGCTGGAAAAAGTTATTTCCATTGATAATTTTAAAAAAAAATTAATAATTTAATCCCATGATTGCCTTAGGAATAGTTGAAAACTCTGAATTACTGGGCCAAATAAAAAGTTTTTAATCCAGCCATTCAACAAATATTTAAGTCCAATAATGTAGACCACTCTAAAGATCAGAACATAATACTGCTATATTTAACATAAATCCAAGAATCAATATTTTAAAAAGTACCATCAGAGTCACATGGAAAAATGGCCCCTCCCCTCAATGGGATAATGTACAAAAGAAATTACAAGAGAAATTAGTGGCAGTATCTTTCCAAAAGGCTTATTGTCAGTTGTATAAATTATTGATCCAATTGAATTAAAAATTGTCCATTGTGTGTTTCCTAAAACTGACTCATCCAGAGAAGTATTACTAATGTAAGGAGTTGAAATTAACCACACCCTCCCTCTATTCTCTTAAGGCTCTTTTATTTGCATTTCCATTGTAATAATTCCTTCCAATTTGTCTGGTAAGCTGTACAATGTTCTTCTCTCCCCTACTAGAGGGCAGGAACCTGGTCTTAGTCAATTTGTGTGTCCAACAGCATCAAGCAGATATACAATGAGTGCTTGTAGAATAAAACAATATAAAAATTTAAGTCAGCTCTATGCAACATTGATGTAAAAGATAATAGTGCCATGTCTTTGTTCCAATTAGTTTTATACTTAAGCATAGGGGTTCAGGTTCCAAGTTCCCAGGTCGGTGTTAATGTCACTGCTGAATTTACCTTGGAGAAGGCACCAAAGCTAACCACAGCAGAGACATTGTCACTCACAGCAGTGTTGTGATTAGCCAATTGTCTTTGGTCGTGTTATGTATTGCCATCCTTCACACCGCAGTTGGTTCTTATCAGTGCGTCATGTCCATCCTTATTCACGGTTACCTGTTCTATGGGAATAAGGCTTTGAGAGAAATTCGGCCCAAATTAATCTAGAGCAGTATTTCCTAGACAGGTATCTCAAAATGATCTGTTATTAGGGTGAGGTTGAGTCAACAATATTGGGAAAAAATGAATTAGTTTAAAAAATAAATCAATGGCTATTTTTAATGTCCATTGGTTTTTCTCCTTGGCAAATCAGGTTTCTGTGCTTCTCTGGTTGTAGTAGATAATTGTCAGATGCAGTTGATAATGAGTCTGTAGCTAACCAGTGACAGAGAAAGATGCTTTCCCACCCAAAGTCAGACTTGTCAATGAATACTAGCCGCAGTATGAAGGAAAGGTCTGACCAGGAGAGAACCCCAAAGAAGCCAGTCTTTCAAATCACTAAATCAGTAGGAGAAAGGGAAAAAGCAGGATAAGGAGCCTATGTGCCAATAATGTAATTTCAGTTTAGTCTGTAACACTGCTATTATAACCTCTACAACTACTGCAAGCAGTGTTTCCATTCCAGCAATGGAAACAATTCTGGTTGAAAGAATGCCCAATTCTAATTTGGCATGAAAACTGAAGCTACCATATCCTAGACATAACATAACTCATTCTAAGATGCTCTTTTTCAATTTTGTCCCTAAATATTGTTATTCTACTGCCATCCAAACTGAGGCAGACTAGTTTATATCCTGAAGTCATACCCGAATATTAGACACAGATCCAATCAGCACTGAGACCACAACAGGTCACAATGGATGATGGCCAGTAAAACCTCTGCTGTCACAAAGATCAGTATGAAATTAATCATGATGAAATTGGCTGATTCAGTGTCACTTGCTAGGTATTGCAACATAATCTAAGATCAAACCCCAAATCTCTTAAGATTAAGTTTGATATTTTTCAAATAATTTATTGCAGATTATTTCTTTTTTCAGTTCAACACATTTAAGTGGGTATGACAGAGTTTAAAATCTTTTACTTTTGACAATACCCTTTTAGCTTTTTTTCATGTTCTTAAATAAGGGAGCTAAGGGAAACATACACACCTTATAGAGAGTTTCATCCCAGATAGATGTTCGGAAACAAGAACATTCCAATGGGCGAGACAAACGCCTCAGATCTTCTTCTCGTTCTTTAAAAATCTGAATTAAAACGTCCACATACAGATCAACATATAACAGCTCTTCTCTTTCATTGCAAAATCAGAAATGTACTATTTCAATGTATTTTAAACAAGAGTATTTCCTCTTTCTTCAGAGGAATTTTTCATGTGTACATTACTTCATAAAATAGGATGGCAAAAATTATTTCAGGTCAGGTCTAAAAGTAAAACAACTTTTAGAATTCTTCAGGTCTCTGATGCCTGTGCCAAGTACTCACTGAGAGCACTGTGTTGGAAACAAAAATACTGTACAGAAGAGTGTTTATAAAATATATCTAATGTTCCAAATCACCTAATCTGGGTCACTTTAAGGTAATAATACTGTAAATTAAAATATTTTAACCTTTGTAGGTATCTCTCTCACAAAAATATATGCATATACTCATATATATTATTTCTGAATGTACTATATTTACTTGGCTATATAAATATAACACCCCACACAAACAGAAATATCTATCCATTTTGGTATAATATATATCTATGTATATATGACCACATACACATCAAAAAATATTTATTTGTACAAATACATATACACAGATATTTTCCATGACTGGGTGGATTTGTAGTGAGTGGTGGTTAATTTTATATCAATGTGACTAGGCCACAGTATCCAGACATTTGGTCAAACAACAGTTTAGATCTTCTTGTGAGGTATTTTTAAATGAGATTAATATTTATATTAGTAGGCTGAGTAATTAGTAGACTACTCCTCCATAATGTGGATAGGCTTTACAAAATCAGTTGAAGGCCTTAAGAGAAAAAAGTCACCATTCCACCAGGAAGGGGGAGTTCTGCCTCCAGACTGATTTCTGAATGGAATTACAACAACTACTCTTTCCTGGGTCACTATCCTATCCGCCTGCCCTGCAGATTTTGGACTTGCCAGTCTCTACAAGTGTGCAAGTCAATTCCTTAAAAACCAACCAACCAATCAATCTCAGTTGCTCGCCCGCTCGCTCTCCCCCCTCCCACCCCACACACGCATATACTTATTGGCTCTGTTTATTTGGGGATCCCACACACATAAAATGAACTATCTGTCTTCTTTGAGATTGATATTTAGGGAAGCACCTTAGCTACTTTAACTTTAAAACTTGCAAGTTTGAATCTTTAAGTACGCTTTTATTAATTGAGCTTAAATACCACAAAGAACATTAATATATCTTTGGGGATGTATTATATAAGGATTTAGGAAATAATAAGTTGATTAATAAAAATGAAAAGTAATTTAAAAAATCCATAAGGACTTCATTTGTTGGAATGCTCTGTTTTTCTATTGCAAATTGGGCTAGGTAATGAAGTGATTTTTAAAGGAAACAAAACAGAAAACAAAACAACAGCAAGGATAACAATAACACAGCCCTCATAATCTCAAGATCCAAGCTACATACAGATTTTCTACTGAATTACAACAGAGTTGATACTTTGTGAGAAAAGGAGAGGGAGAAGGAAGAAAGACTAGATACTCAAAAGTAGTTTTCAGAGTCAAATACAGAACTGGGTCAAGTTGTTTGTAATCTGTGAAGTTACCTAGAAATACCAAAACATGCCCAAATACTGAAACACTGGAGACAATACTGTAACTAGTTACATAAAAATAGTATTCCTGACTGTAGCTATTACCAAAAAAAATCCTTTAAATAAAGGGTATCCTTAGATTCTTAGGACCCAACCCAAAAAGGAACTGTATTCTTCTACATCACCAAAATATTCTAAAACTGCTCCTTACCTTTATCCTTACAGGTTCTTCTCTTTCAGCTTAGACTTTAAAATCAAATCCTCTTATTTTATTTTGCATAAACTAATAAGGCTGAACTCTATTTGTTACTTGCCAGACCTGGGGTCTCATAGCTAGCTAGGAGTCTGCTCTTTCTACTGTGTCTTCTTTGGTTTAAATTTATGTGTACTAATCTCCATGCTAGAAAAGAAGACAAAGATACCATATCAGTGTAATTAAGAGGGACTTGGCATTGAGCCTAACACAAAGTGACTGGCACTTCTATTGGTGCATACATATTTGCTAAGTTAACCTAGTGATAACAATAATCCTTTCATCTCACCCCTGGTGGGTCTTCTAGCCTTGACAGTAACTACCTCTTCTGAAGGACAATAAAACAGGGTGAATAAACATAGACATAAATAAAGGAGGATGTATATGGGGAAGATGGTGGAGTAGGAGGATACTAAGCTCATTTTATCCCACTGAAACACAAAACTAACAATCATATCAGTACAATCAACAAGAAAATAAACCAAAGACTGGCAGAAAGAGTTTCCATAGCTAATCATAGAACACAATGAAAGAGGTAGGAGGGGCAGAAACGTGGGAAACCAAATTCAGCCAGACTAACCACAAAAGGGCGGGACCCCACAAGCATGGAGAAGGGAGAGGAGCAGACCCCACATTAGGCACCCCAGACATAGCGACCTGCACTAGGAAGATGAGTCCCCATAACATTTGGCTTTGAAATAAGCAGGGCTTAACTCTGTGAGTTTTTATAACCAGGGGGCTTAAATTCAGGTACTTTAAAATTAGCTGGCTCAGCTCTGGGAGAGCTGGAAGGCAAAAGGAAACTAAGTCTTCATCCTCAAAGAGCAAGCATATCAAACAAGTCCACTGAGACACAGCATAGAAGCAGTAGTGTGAAAAGTGCCTAGGGAACACATGAAAGACCTTTATTTTCCAATCTCAGAACATGTGAAAGAGGGCAAGGGATCTTTAGGAGACTTCTTCAAGAACAAAAGAACTGGTGGGAGCCATTTCGTTGCACCTCCAGCCTAGATAGCTGGACACTTGCAGAAAATACCGTGAACATGCTCTACTTTCCTTGCTAACACTATGCAGCTCACCCCTATAATATCCTGCAGACCAGTCCTATCCACCCCATCCTATACAGGAGTCCCTCCAAAGCAGCTCCTGCATGTCTCATCCTGCAGGGGACAGCACTACTGCAAAGTGACTCTTGTACTGGGGAGAGGGGAAGATAACAATAAACAACATTTGACTAAAGCCCCAGTAACCAAGCCTTATAACTGACAGTATAAAGAGAGTGCCCTGTGAAACAGTACATCTGCTGCCCCTGCAGTCAGTCTGGCCTGACTCCTGACCCCACACATCAAAAGCCTCTCAGGGGACAAGGCAGGGAGAGCACTCTGCAGGCAGGTGCTATTGCAGCCCCAACAGACAGACTGGGAGCAGAGAGTTGGTTTGTCTGCAGAATCTGTCCACAAATGAAAACCTCTCATTAGATAATGCAAGGAGAGCACCCTGCAGTTTGATGCTACTGTAGGCCCTGCAAATGTGCTGAGGGCAGGCATACGGTCTGATTGCTGAAATCACCCAATGGTAAGCCCACAGTGGCCTCAGACTGCCCTCTTAACAGCACAGGGACCAAATCCTACCCAGTGCATGCATAATAGGCAAAGCAGGCCATTACAGCATACTGATAAGAAGGTAAATGTGGCTCGACCAGAATAAGGCATACAAAACCCACACAGGAGAAACTCTTGAGGCATCTGGTTCTGATAAACAAGGGATATTGTGCTACAGGCCACCACAAGAACTTTCCTTCATAAGGCTATTACTCAATATCGGGAGACATAACAGATGTTCTAATACACAGAAACAAACACAAAGTTAGATAAAATGAGGAGACAGAGGAATATGTCTCAAATGAAAGAAAAGTACAAAACAAAAGCAAAACAGCTAAATGAAACGAAGATAAGCAATATGTGTGATAAAAAATTCAAAGTAATGGCCATAAATATACTCACTGGATTTTCAAGAGTAGAGGATCTCAATGAGATCCTCAACAAAGATACAAAATATAAAAAATAACAAATAAGAAATGAAAGACTCAGTAACTTAAGTTAAAAATACATAAGAGGGAAAAGGGAATCAATAGTAGTTTAGAGGAAGACGAATGGATCATAGAGCTGGAAGAGAGTAATTAATAGGAAGAACAAAACAGAAAAGCAAAAAATAGGAATAATAAAAAATAAGAATAGGTTAGGAAACTCAGCAACATCATTAAGTGTGATAACCTTAACATTATAGGGATTCCAAAAGAGAGAGAGAAGGGGGTAGAAAATGTATTTGAAGAAATAATAGCTGAAGAATTCTCTAATCTGGAGAAGGAAACAGATATGCAGATTTAGGAGGCACAGAGAGCACCTAAAAAAAAGCAACCTGAGGAAGTACACACAAAGACACATTTAATTAAAATAGCAGAAAGTAGTGAAAAAGAGAAAATTTTAAAAGCAGCATCAGAAAGTTACACACAAAGGAAATCCCATAAAGCTATCCGCTGCTTTTTCAGCAGAAACCTGTCAGGCCAGAAGGGAGTGGCATGATATACTCAAAGTCCTAAACCAAAAATATCTGCAACCAAGAATACTTTAGCTAGAAAGACTATCATTCAGAATAGAAGGAGAGATAGAGTTTCCCAGGGAACAAAAGTTAAAGGAGGTCACCACCACTAAACTAGCCTTACAACAAAGGTTAAAGAGAATTCTTCAAGGGGAACGAAAAGGCATGACCAGGAAAAAGATTATGAAAGTATAATGAAATTATGAAATGAAAACATTTCATAGGTAAATATGAACATAATAAAAGTAGAAGACTAATTACTTGTAATACCAGTATGGAAGTTAAACACAAAATGATAAAAATCAATTATAGCTATAAAATCAGTCCATAAATTCACAAAATAAAAATATATGAATTATGACATCATATGCATAAAAAGTTTTGGGGGGCAGGAGTAAAAATTTAGTACTTTTAGAATGGTTCAAACTTAAGTGACCATCAACTTAACATGGACAGCTATACTCATAAGATGTTATATATGAGCTTAATGGTAATCAAAAATCAAAAACCTATATTAGATAAACCACATCTTCATGGCAATGAGAAACAATGAAATCTGGCCATGTGTAGCAACATGGATGGACCTTGAGGGTGTTATGCTGAGC